TATATCGAAACCTCTTTAAAAAATGTATATAAATTATATCCCACAACCGTCTCATATCGCATGCATATATCGACGTTGTCTTGTTTGTTGCCTGGTCGGTTCCAAGGCGTCGTCGCTCTCCACACTCATGCCATCATCTTTCTGTTTCATTTGAACGACCCATTGCCCATGTGCCATTTCGCTAGCAGCGATGGTTTGCGCGCGCTGGGATCGATCCAAGTCGGTCGATGGCCAACACCGAGGAACGCAGGCCGATATATATTGGCGACGTGATAATATATTGAGACAGAATGGATACAACACAGTGCATATCGAATGACACTCTACCCCGCGGCTGCGACTTTCGAAGCGCCTGCCACCTGCCACCGACGATGACGGACGCTGCGCCAACTGACCGCCGCCTGCGCCTGACGCTGCACGCGGCGAGAGACCTCGCGGCCGCCGACTACACCTTTGGCGGTATCTCGCGCGGCAAGAGCGACCCGTACGTGGTCTTCCGCATTGGTGACCAGCGCTTTACAAGCAGCTGCATTGCATCGACGCTCAACCCGGTCTGGGGCGCCGAGGTCTTTGAGTTCGCGCTGAGTGCGGACGCCATGTACACCAGCGCGCTCGTCGTCGAGGTGTACGACCACGACCTCTTCAACGCCGACGACCTCATTGGCTCGACCGTCCTCGCCTTGGCCCAGTTCGAGATGGACAAGACCGCGCGGTCGATCGAGTGGCCGCTCGACGTGCCCGACGAGTTTAGCAGCCAGAAGGTCCAGAGCGTCCTCCTCGTCACGGTCCACGTGCTCGAGCCCTATAGCGACCCGGCGCTGCAGGCCGAGATCGTCGACGAGATGGTCGAGACGCAAAAGTGGCGGCCGATCTCGGGCTGGGGGCACTCGAAAATGGAGACAACGGTCGAGCACGTGATTCCGGCCGCGTTCACGTCACCCGTCGGGTGGGTCATTGCGCTGCACGAGCCGCGCCAGCAGACCAGCAACCAGCATCCGAGCATTGCCGACGACCTCTGTCCCGACGGCTGGCTCTACGCCGCGTCCTGGGACGGGCCGTGGTACAAGAGCGCGAGAGGCCACCCGACCGCGCTCTGCCGCAAGCGCAAATGGACCAAGACGTACGTGCGCACACGCCGCGCGCTCTCGACGACGCAGCAAGACAAGACGATTGACGCGATCCTCGGCAAGTATGGGCTCACCGAAGATGACGACGACGACAACCAGTGGCTGCACGAATAAGAACTGAGTCTTCGTTTGTATCTATGGACGCATTGCAGACACATTGTCCTTCCTCTTACGCGACGTACGTAAGATTTAGCGTTCATGTGGTAGCTGTCAGCGAAGACGCTGTGCTGGCTGATGCACTTGGCATCATCGTCGCCGAAACTTGGCACGCAAACGAATGGGCGATTCTATCTATCTATCTATCTATCTATCTATCTATCTATCTATCTATCTATCTATCTATCTATCTATCTATCTATCTATCTATCTATCTATCTATCTATCTATCTATCTATCTATCTATCTATCTATCTATCTATCTATCTATCTATCTATCTATCTATCTA